GATGGAGATCTCTGGCTGGTGATGGAATACATGGATGGAGGAACTTTGCAGGACGTTGTCAGACAGACACGCATGGCTGAAGGAGAGATGGCAGCTGTCAGTCAGGAGGTGAGGGATCCTGCTTGTGCTTCCCATGGCTGGGACACCATGGTCCTTCCAAAGAGGCTGTGAGAGCAGAGTGGCTCCATGCTCAGGCCTTTGTTTCTGTGTTGTTTTTATGAGCTGGAGAGGAAAGAGCCTCTGAAGTGAATGGCCTGCAAATATCACTGCATTTCTACTCTGTTCTTGTCTTCTTTCCTGCTGTTGTGGTACTCTCTGTCTTTTTTGGATCTGATTTCCTGTTCTCAGCTTTGCCTTGAACCTTTTGCCTGGAGCTTGTCTGCACTGCACTCCTGGGCTGTCACAGCAAAGTTGCTGCTGGCAGAATTCTAAACTGTCCTTTCTTGTGTGATATATTCCGGCCTCTGATTTTTTCCCTCGTGTTTCTTGTTGTCTCTCAGTGTCTGCAGGGCCTGGATTTCCTCCATTCCAACCGGGTGATCCACAGAGATCTGAAGAGCTCCAACATCCTTCTGGGAATGGACGGCTCTGTCAAGCTGGGTGGGTGTTCCTGGCCAGGCACGGCGCTCCCGGGGTGCGGCTGTGGGGCTGCTTCCAGAGCCCCACAAGTGCTGCTGGTGGCACTGCCCGGCCCCTGCTGCCAGCTGAGAGCGGCTGCCCCGTGCAGAGAGCTCAGGAGAGGAGCAGGCTGTCAGGAGTGCCTTTGCTCTGGGTATGGCCCTCCCAGAGGGGCAGGAGTTGCAATCTAAAGCTTCAAAGGAAATCAGTAAAGCCAAGCATGAAAGCTGAGGGCTTCTTTCAGGGTCCAGTTCCATCTTTCCTTGGCTACAGCCCTGAGGACATTTCCAGCTGGATTCAGCACTGCATTCCCAGACTGAGAGTGGGGAATCTTTGTGCTTGGTTTCCTCATTGCAGCTGCCTTTGACAGTGCTTGTTTCTGTCCTCAGCTGATTTTGGCCTCTGTGCTCAGCTCAGCCCTGAGCAGGACCAGTGCAGCTCCATGGTGGGCACTGCTCACTGGATGGCCCCAGAAGTTGTGACCAGTTCTCCTTACGGCCCCAAGGTGGACATCTGGTCCTTTGGCATTGTGACCATCGAGATGGTGGAAGGAGAACCTCCTTACTTCCAGCAAACGGGGGCCATGGTAAGAGGCAAATTCTCCAGGCTTTGCAGAGGCCTGTGAGCACAGGGTGACCCTGCACTGGGAGGAGCAGCTGGAGGTTTCTGCACATCGCAAAGGGAATTCCCACAGCACCTGAGCCTGAACACAGACAAATATTCTGCAGTCTCCAGCAACAATTTGCTTTGGCATTTAAGTTGTTGCAGCTCTTGTGAGGATCACCCAAATACATGAAGCAAGTGCATCAGCTCTAATGTTGTCTTGCAGAAAACCCCAAACCAACCCCAACACCCACACCCAAACCCAACAAGATTTCTGGAGGAGTTTCTAAAAGAGGTTTTGTGAGATGAACTCCCCCTGGCTCTTCTCACTGGGAAACTTGTCTAAAACATGAAGATGATTGTTTAACATCCCCACACTCTAACATATTTCTTTCCTTCCTTTTACTTTCTCTGTGTCACCAAGCCTGAGCTTTCAGCCACACAAACCTGCTGTTCCTTGCCTGGCAGTTTCTGGCATGGGGCATCAGGAATGCTTTTACTTGAGGGTCAGTGGCACTGCAGAGATGCATTTGATGTAAGAATCCCTTGAAATAACACAGGCAGACCACACTGACTCTTGAAAATGGCCTGTAAAGCTGGTGTCTGTATTTGGAGAAGCAAAATGGGCTATTTCTGATGGAGGTTCCTACTGACAAAGTCAGCCAATGCAATCGGCTCTGAAGGCAAGATCATTTGGATGTTGCAATGGCTGTGGCTGGAGCAGGGTTTGGGTTTTTTGGCTGGCCCAGAA